TAAATATCATCGTAAATAAATCTATATATATATATTAATTTCAAATTGTTCAACCATGCATTTTTTAATTTAACGCAATGTTTGGAGTGGTTATTAAGTTACACTGTGGACATTGTATCATGTGTTTACCATTTAATTGGTCTACCTTTAATCTCTTTAATCTCCATTGCAACACAAACTTAATCTACAACTGAATATATTGGTGTGTATATATATAAAAAAAACAAACGTTTTAAACCAGAAATGGAGAGCAATGAGTCTATTCTTTTACAACCGATTCGACATTTAACTTCGGTAAAGGATGGTGAAAATCTAAAATCACAAGTTACAAGCGTTGAACGCTTGTCGAAGTCTTCGCGTCCACTACTTCCAAGCAATTCAACTCTCATAATAAATCTTCCTGATAATTCTACAACAGGATTAGATTGTTCACCAAATGCCTTTTTATCAGAAATAAACCCAAAAAACAAAACACCTACAGTTACCTGGCAAAATGCTTTTCGCAATATATCGTATATAATCTCTTGGTACTTTTTTTCTACAGCTTTATCATTTTATAATAAGGCGTTAGTAGGAAAAGATAAATTTGATTTAGATCTACCCTTATTTGTGAGCGCTATGCACACTGGATCACATTTTTTCATAACATCATTATTAATGAATGGAAGTCTCTCATTTATATATAAGAGACCGGAAGGAAAATCTGTCTCAGTAAATAGTTATTTTACAAGAGTAGTAAGTTAAAAACCTTGTTCAAAGATTTTTTTTTTTTTTTTTTTTTTGATCCTAATATATATATATTTTTTAGGTCCCTTGTGCTCTTTCCGCTGCACTCGAAATATGTATGGCTAACGCATCACTTATGTATATTACATTGAGTTTCTATACCATGGTACGTATTTATAATTTGTATAAAGTTATATATATTTATAATTTAAAATTATCTTTATATAAAGGTGAAATCTTCGACACCCATATGGGTACTCCTGTTTGCTTTTGTGTTTGGATTAGAGAATCCCCGTATTCTTCTAGTTTTTATAATATCTGTCATAAGCACTGGAGTGATTATGACAGTATTTGGAGAAACTGCGTTTAATCTTACAGGTTTTTTGTTAGTATTAGGTGCCGCAATTTCTAGTGGTTTACGTTGGTCTCTAACTCAGATGCTCCTTCAACAAGAAGAAAGCATGAATCATCCAATTGCTACTCTTTATTATATTTCTCCAGTAATGTTTATTCTGATGGTGATTCTTTCCTTAATTTTTGAAAACCCATTTCACGAATTTGGTCATTCAAAACATTTTAAGGATGCTGAAACTATTCTTAAAACACTTGGTTTGATGTTAATTGGTGGGATTTTGGCTTTTTGTATGACAATGTCTGAATTCGCTTTAATCAAAAACACTAGCACAGTGACACTATCAGTTGCTGGAATAAGCAAAGAAGTTGTTGTAATCATGTTATCTGTTCTCATATATCAAGATCAATTGACTCCTCTGAATATAATAGGGT